AAAAGCCTCATCAGCAAAGAGAAGGAGCAATGCAAAGCCCCTGAGGCCTAGAAGACCTCGTGGAGGCCTCCAGTGATTGTATTTCCAAAGAAGCATTTGATCATTTTCATTTTACCATGAAACTACTTATGTTTACTTTTTAAAAAGATTGATATAAAAATAAATCATGCAACATCAAAGAATCGCTATTTCTTTCCAACCAACCTGATTGCATTTCTCTCCTTATCTTAGAACACTTGATCTTGGGAGATTTCACAATTTCAGAGGTGCTGGAGTCTACTGTTCTCAGTTTTCCTTTGGGAAAAGAGTCCGTATTATGTTGAACAATGTTTTTTTTCTCTCTTGTGCTTTTTTGGGTAAATTCTTCGCTGTCGCTCTTTTGACTTATACTTGAATCTGTGTTAAATTTACATGAGTTTTTCATTTTCTGAATTCTTTCAGAATTATCTAAATCATTTTTATTTTCAGAATCTTTTTGGTTAACTTTTTTGGTTTCTTTCTTTTTCTCCTCAACCAGATTTTTTGAGCCTGTTTCTTTTTTAATCTGGGGTTTTTTCTTCTTTATTCTCTTTTGATTAAATTCTTTGCTATCTTCATTGGAGAGATCAGAATCAGAATCTGAAAGGTCATAAAAACGTTTCAAGTCCTCTGTAGTGCTATGGTTGATGGGGCGCCCTCTTTTATCCACAGCATAGTTCAACTTGAACTTTTTGTCATGAAACATGGCTCGAAATCTCTTGTCAATTTTGACTTTTCGATCCTTTTCTGGCATTTCCCAAAATCTCGGGTCCTTTGCAACCCGCCTAAACCGCTGGTCACTCATTATTTCTTGTTTGGATGACATTTTTAAATGTCTTACTGAAGAAATGCTCAAAGAAAGCAAATACTAAAAAATAAAACAAATATTACAATAATGAATGGTTAATAATATAATTAAATGTTTTAAAAACACATTAGTTCACAATATATTCTTCATTAAATGTACATAAAATAAAGGTAACCTAAGTCTAGTTTCATCTCCCCAACTTATTCTAGGTCACATGTAGAAAAACAAAACCATATCAAAATATCCTCTTTCCATTACAAATCACTTATAGAAATAAAAAGGCAAACCAAGCAGAATCCCAGGGCTTTATAGAGGAGAACAAATGTTTACTAGCTCATTGTACTCACTTAGAATTTCTGTATTTCTATCTGTGTAACTGTATGTATTACATGTAAACAGCTAACTTAATTAAAAGATTCTCAAGCTTCATTTGGTCTCATTTGTTTCTTCACATTCTGGTCCCATTCTCTCTGTTAATCCTTACCCTCTGCTACTCTCAACAGCCTTTAGTTCTATAAGGATAGTCTCCTCAGTAAACAGACCAAAATCAATTCAGGTTTAGCTCACAAAGTTTCCTGTTTAAATCCAACCACCCTCCAAAGGTAAAGTCAAGACTCCAGGTAAAGTCTCACTCTGGTTAATAAATATCACTTTCTATAATTTCTTACTCTAGGAGTGACTAAGGGTCAAATGAGCTGATCTACCCAACACATACTAGGATACACATATATGTATGTATATAAACTAGCATTGCACCCTTGTACACAGTCCCTAATAGTTTAGCACCTTTGGATTTGAATTTTGCATAGAGCCGAAAGTCACTGATTATTAAGAGCAAAAGTGGACTGATTAATCAGGGCGGTATTCCTTTATTTAAAAAACAAGGCCTGACTATAAAGCTGTATTTTTCCTAAATTTGAAAACAACTTTTTATACACTAACCAGGAAAAAATCAAAGGTTTCACTAACGCATTTATTTACACACTTTAGATGTATTCAACCATTTAACCTTCCGAACAGCCATACAAGGCAGGTATAGCTCATTCAGTTAGCAGAGGTAACGCATGTGTATTGTAAATGTTTACAACGGAAGCACTCAATAAACGTCAGCGATTTATCGGGAGGAGAGGAGAAGGCGACACGACCTCAACTCTGACACACGTTCTCATCCCCGTAACCCACCCTCTCCCACCGTGTAAGGTGGTGAATACCAGACGGGCCCCGGAACGAAGGTCTTCTTCCCACCTCCCACACCTTAGGGGGCAGCTACTGGGCTAAGGTCTTTTTTTGGGCGGGGGGGGGGCTAAGGTCTCTTGAAAAGAGACCACAAACAGGACCCAGGAAGTCTGAAGAATGAGGCCGGAAAGGCAAGGAGGAAGGGGCGAACACCTCAGGAATCCGAAGGAGACCTTGTAAGAGACTGGCTCTATCGCCTTTAAAGCCCTTCTACTCTATCCATTCCTACTCACCGACCGGAATCCCTCTCCAAAGGATCCCTCCTCACGTGAGGAAGCCTACACCCACAATCCTCCGCGAGACGCTCCGCCGTAATGGCAAGCGAACTGGACCAAACTACTTGCACTTTTCCCTCTGCGAAGATTTCCGCTTTAGCTGCCGAAACCGCGCCGGCGCATGCGCACGACAAAAAGCGCCGGCAATTGGCATCGCCAGTGGAAATGCTGCGGCCCGCGGGGCTCTGGCGTCTGTTGTGGCGACCTCTGGCGCCGGGGGTCCCCGCGGAGAACCTTGGCCGTAGGGAGGTCGCCTCTGGTGTCTCTCTCCCCGGCGGCACCTCGCCCAGATCCCTAAATATCTTCGACCGGGATTTGAAGAGGAAACAGAAGAACTGGGCGGCCCGGCAGCCCGAGCCGATGAAGTTTGACTACCTGAGGGAGGAGGTGAGACCGCGCGCGGGACTTCGCGGAGGAGCAGCGCCGAGGCCTTGTCTTCAGGTCCGGGAGCTCTCGCCGGGCTCCGACCGACACCGCCTCGCTGTCTGACCTTGACCGGAGCCCTGCCTCCTCGGCCTCTACTGTAGTCACGGACGGGCTGGGCTCAGATATTTGTAACGTGCTTTTCATTCATGCATGCATTCACTCACTCAGCAAATATTGCTTGAGTTACAGCTACGACTAGGGCAAAATAAGACTGTATCCTCATGAGCTTTCATTCCTGAGGGAAGGGGGGCGAGACAGACGGTAGAAAAAGAACATAATTTCAGGTAAAGAAGTAACATGAGAGAAATAACGTGAAGCGGTATCGTGACTGTGACTGCGATGGTCGGGGGAGGCCGCTCTGGCAGACAACAAGATAAGGGATTAGCCAAGCTAAGATCTGGGGCAAAAAGCCTCATCAGCAAAGAGAAGGAGCAATGCAAAGCCCCTGAGGCCTAGAAGACCTCGTGGAGGCCTCCAGTGATGCTGGATAGAGTGGGAGAGGAGGTTAGGAGGGCCCAGGTCATTAGGGCCTTTCAGGGTAGGACTTTGGATTTTCTTCTCCATCTGCACTGTCCATCCCGTATGGTAACTGCTGGCCACATGTGGCTATTGAGCACTTGAAATATGACTAGTCCAATTGAGATGTGTTATAAGTGTAAAAATACATACTGGATGTCAGTGACTTGGAATGTAAAAGGGAAGTAAAATATCTCATTAATATAAAAAAACTGATTGCATGCTGCAATGTGTTTGATATATTGGGTTAAAGAAAATATATTAAAATTAATTTCTCTTATTTCTTATATGGCTACTAGAAAATTTTAAATTACACATGTGGTGCTCATTGTTTTTGGACAGCACTGCTCTAGAAGAATGTGAGGCTCTTGTTTTAAGCAGTGGAGTGATATGATCTGATCTATGTTTTAGAAAAATCAAATTAAGATCTCTGATTTGTCTGTGCTACTCTGAGAGACCTCTTCCTCTCAACCCAGGTAGACTAGGGACTGAGAGTTTCTACTTTCAAGACACACAGCACTGAGCTCAGGCCTCAGTAAATGTTTTTTTCAGGAGTGGAGCAAAATTGGAGCCAAATATAACAAGCTCTTTCAAGCCGACGTAACAAAACATATATTGAGCTCCTACTTTGAGTAGAGCTCTGTGCAAGCACTAGTCTGATCAGATGATTGACTGTGTTCTCAGGAAGCCATAGAGGAGACAATTGCTCAGAGGCTGGTAATGTCTATTATAGAGATAGAAAGTAAACTATCAATAAATTTTCTGTATCCTATTTGTAAGCCAAGGTGTACATACTACACTGCTGGTTTCATCATGAAGTGTTCATGATGTCATGTACTTAAATGTGCATTCCTAGCCTCTGTTCTCCAAGAAAAGCACCTGGCTTACGACTTGACTGAGGCCTTGCCAATGTTCAGGACTAGAATAAATGAGATAAAGTGTGCGAGTTCTTTTTATAGTAAATGAAAGATATTCATATTAGGAATGCTGTACAAAGTGGACTCCTCTGGGGAAAGACATTTGTGCCTCCCTTACCCTCTTCCCCCAAAAAGTAAATATGTCTGTGTTTGGAACTTTCAAGTCCTAATAGCAATTCTGGGATGTTTATGAGGGAATGCGTAGAATGCAGGCAGTATTAGACTCCCATGTCTTTATTCCAGCCAGTTGAAGCTAGCCTAGCAAAAAGTGGTGATATCTACCTTATGACCTCTTTCAAATTGGAGTGGAATTTAGGCAGGGGGAGGTATACTTTATTCAGTTTTTGGTATTTCTAACTTGCAAATGTTGCTCCAAAAAGTTATTTACTCATTTAGAAGTTCCACAAAATTTGTTAGTCATCAAATAATAGTTTTTATTAAGTGACCACTTATATATTGATCTGTAATAAACCCCACCTAATTTTTTCACTTTCATATACCTCATGCTCATGTCTGTGGACAATAATGTACCTGTTGTGTTCCTGTTGCTTTTCATCCTTGTTATGTTATATCGTATGGAACATGAAGGCCAAAGAGGTGTGTGTGTGTATATTTTTTAAGAATGTTTAGTCTTGATTTCATTAAATTGACTTCTGAAGTGATTTGCCTCATTTGTTTCCTGGGTATATTTTAATTTATGTTCCTATTTAGGATTTGAAAAGAAAGTTGCTGCGGTGAAATAGAAAAAGAGGTAAAGGGAGGTACTTATGTTGAAACATAAGTAACCTATGGATTGTCGAATACTCTGTTAACCTAATCTTAACTTGTATACCCTCTTATAATCCTTCAGGTTGGAAGTCGGATTGCAGACCGTGTATATGACATAGCCAGGTAAGTGGCGATTACCATAATAAAATACAATCATCTTTTGAGTGGAAAATCAAAAGATTAAATGCTGAGAGCTTGATATCTATAATGGCAGAAACTGGAGGAATTTATTACCAGGATTGGTGAATTGAATTACTCTGTAGGTCTCTCCTTTTCTCTTGTCTGGGAGAGCAACTCTCTCTCTCTTTTTTTTCGCCTTAAAAAAAAAAATATATGGATGTGGAAGCACAAACTCATATCTATCTCCATGCCTGAATGACTGACCTACTGGATTTGGCCAAAAGCCGGTAATGGAAAGATTGCTTAAAAAATGGAGATAAAGAATTGCCTACATGTGAATTTTTATGTGGATTTTTAAGATTTACTAAACTTAGTTTTAAAAGTTTAACTAAAATTAACAAACTGTTTTACAATTAAAGTGAAGGAGAGAAGTCTACCTAGTTTTGTTCCCCAATCAGGTTATATGAGACTTTGGCATTGTTAATGGTAATAAGGGTTCTATGATAATTATTAATATAAGTACAGGCCAACTTGAGAAAAGCACACTGTCATCAAGAATTATTGAAACCTTGATGGATTCATTGGTCTATATATTAGACATAATCAAAGCTTAATAGATGTGAGAAACACAGTCAAATAATGGTTTTGCAATAGAATTACTCTGTGATATTACCAAATTACTCTTTATGTGCTCTTTTGTTTAAAAGATATCCATTAAATTAGACCAAGGTGTGATTAATTTACAACATTTGTCTATAAAAAAGGGAATTTTGTAAAATCACAAACTCTTTTAATTGTATTTTAGATGTATCTTTGCTACTTAAAAGAGTCTTGGGATGAGTGAATTTTGTAAGGTAAAAAAAACAGTACTTCATAGTTGCAAATAGGCACCCACATTTCATTTGTTTCATTAGTTCCATTATTTTAAAGATCTGAAAAATAGCTACTGTAATTTTTCACCTGGATTATAGGTCATTTATGATTTAATAAATGAAATACTGAAATTTGCAAATCAGTTTGGATTTTACCATCTTTTAATTATATGCCATAGTACTGAGCAAAACACAGTCAAGTCTATGGAGAGAGCTATGATTATAGCTAGAAGTGTATCTTAACATTAACTCTTTGGAATTAAATTACTAAAATACTAGTCTAAATATCCTTGCTTTAACATTTGAAAGCGTAGTTTATATTGTCAACACTGATCATTTGTTGATTTTTATAAATGAATCCCACACATTATTAAATGTCTTATTTGTGGGATCTAAGGCTCACTTACTACTGTTATAATCAGTGATAATAATAACTGGTAACTAACTTGTTGAACATTTACACTGTGCTAAATACTTTACATGTACTATTTCATGTAATTCTCTCACCAACCCTGAGGCAGGCAGTAACATTTCCATTTTA